AAGTTGGTGATAAAGCTCAGCCTACGCTATTACAATAAAACCTCCTTGAGTCTCCCAACGCGTAATTCCCAATGCCAAAAAGTTCCAATTTATGCCAAGCAGTGTGTTAGGGAAAGAAAAACACAGGAAACGATATTAAATGTCATAACGAAACTTTCTTACAATTGAAGAGCCATACAACTGCCTCTAAAGTAGCTTGAAAGAATTCTTTTATAATGTCTTGGTATATTCACATTAAGAAAACTCCTCTTGTGGACACCCAAACAAATTTTTCATCGCATGTTAATATCCAGTTTTTCCATTCTTTCTGCTTTTATCACAGTATATTAGTATCACAGAACCTGTTATCAAGTTCTCTTCTCACACCAACAACATTCACACAATCCACACAAAATTCAAAAGTGCCATTGGGGAAAACAAAATTCGTGAACAGGGGAAGTGGACAGAATAAAAAATATGTTAGTAAGTTTGAAAATCACGTAATTACGGAGTCGTAACGAATGTAAAAGTTGTGATCGCATTTAAGGCCATACTATCCCAGAAAAACGTAGTTACAGCTGCAACTTTTGATAACTATTTGAGCTATCTTCACAAAAGTGTAGAATACTGAGGGTATTCAATAGCTGAAGGTTAAGTAGGCTGACGTCAGTGTCAAATTTTGTAAGTATATATTTGCATTCGATTTTGTAGATAACTAGCCTTTGTAAGCTGATACCGAATTATCATAAGTAATATCACGAGCGCTTTGGAAATTGTCGATAAATTCCGAAGCGAGGAGTGGATTTACCCGAGAATTTCCACAGCACGGGTGATATTTAATAGGGCTAATCCACGAATGAAATTACGTCCAACTGACTTCCAAAATGCGCCAAATATTGAAAATAACTGAAAGTATGTTAAAATCAAAAACATTGGGTCATACGATTAAGAATGAGCTCTTGTTTCGAAGCATTTGCTCCGGAGCAAAGTGAGTCTACTCCATGATGCTGAGCAAAGAATTTGCTCGTGTCTCGCGAGCATTTGCTCATGATAGTGCAGGCTAAGAGTTTTAAAAATTGGTTTCTTGAGAAACAAAGAGATTACATACGTTACGCGCGTCGCGCCCATTTGAGCGGAGCAAAGAGCAATGTTTTATTGCCCGGTTCTTTAAATTCGAATATGAGTAGCAGTAACGAAGAAAAGGCGCGAGAGGCCCAGCTAGTTTTTGCTGAAGTGTTAAGCAAAGATAACATTATTTTTAAAAGACCCAGCATTCGGAAGTGCGCTGTGACCGAAACGAAGCATTAAAAAGTTGGGAAAAACAGTACTATGAAAAATTTCGAGTACAAAAGAGCGATGGCCAATTAACATAGAAGATATGCAATATGAAAACGCGTCTGAAGGAAAACGCCGTAAAAATCGTACTAACTATATATTGCCTTTTTCGAATTGGTTAAGATTCTTCTAGTCTACATCACGAGAATCTCGTCTTATCTTGTATTTTTTTTTGTCCACTGCATCTGCATTTCAGCGCACGGTAAAAAATTGGCCAATTTAACCTTACTTTTTAAACGTGAGTCTACTAAAGGTCCCTCCGAAATTTTGGAGCAAGGGCTCAATCTAGAGAGTTAAACGCTTAACTTTATTCATAACAATTCTGAGCATTTGCTCGCCAGTTGAGAGTACGATCAGAGACGGAGCGGTGCTCAGAGACTGAGCAATTGCTCACTCACTTTATTCATACGAAACTGAGAAGGATCATATGAAACTTAGCAGAATCGCGCTCTGACATCTGGCCATCTGACAGTGCGCAACGCTAGCACCTCCGTTCCTTGTATATACACAGATTTTCCTTGTCTTCCGGATTCCCACATCCCCCCTATAATATTGACAAAACACGTAAATCTGTGCATCTATCCCACTTTAAAACAAAGACATTCCTATTGAAACTAAAAATCTGGAATTAATTTTAGCCCACAGCCTTGGCCGACATTTTTCTTCCGTTCTCAGTAAGACGTTACCCTCAAACAACACGTTTTCATCAGTTTTTAAACATAATGGGAGGTTAGCGGAAGTGACTGCAGAGTTGGACACCCCTACGAAGACACTGACTAATCGGGATGGACCTCATTATGATAAGACGACAAATCGACAATAATTTGGGTGGTCATTTTATACTGAACATGTAAACAAATTGCAATGTGACGTTCAAAACACTAACATCGTAGTCTTGATTAGGCCCTTCTGGTATCACAGACTAACAATATACCGCGAGAATAAGCACGCAAAACCAATAATTAAAACTGCATCTTAGAGAAACAAATGGTACAGTTGTGTATCTCTGCAAAACCCGTCAACCGATATGGTGTCCACATGCTGGAAAACATACTACCTCGGACGGTAGTTGGCGCAACACATTATAGTCTCACTCGCAGTCCCCTGCCAAAATCCAATCCCTTTTTTCTCTTTCTATATCTATTTCGAACCCTCTTACCCCCTCCTCCTCCTCTGAAGCTACTCCCCTTTCTCCCAATCCCTGTACCAATTCCTCTCAGCCAGAGTAAGGATTCTACATATTATTATTATTATTATTATTATTATTATTATTATTATTATTATTATTATTATTATTACATGCCTATACACTGCTTAGTAGGGGAAAGGCCTTCTGCTTAAGGCAGGGAGATTTCACATCACCAGTACGGATCAAGTAATGGTGATTTGTAGTCTGAATTAGTAGAATTCACAGTACTACTTCAAGAGTTCTACAAATGGAATTTCTTATATTTACGATACAAATAATATCGATTTTAGCTCATTGGTATTAACACAGATTTTTTAATCGAAGCTCTCCAGAAAGAGCAATACTGCTTACGCCAAGCTGATAATGTTTCATAAATTCTTCTAATTGCATACAATAAATAAGAACGACACATTAGGTAATACACATATGTGTGAGTTTTTTAATATAGTAAAAGTAAAATAAATGTATTTATGTACTTGCTGAAATAATCATAGGATACGGTTTACAATACCGTTGACAGAAGCATCAAATCTAATTCATTTCTTTCGACGCTTTCATTTCACTTTAAAATGAGGTTTTCTCTTAACAAAAAACTTAAATATTTCAGGGAAAATATTTGCATAGTACGAAAAATTGGGGCATCACCTACAACCCAACGAAATCATGATGTCATTTCTAAATATCATAATCTAACTCATGATTCCCCCCACTACTTTCAAAAATACAAGTCATTATTAAGAAAAATAATAAGGCAGGCTAAAATCATTAAATATGATGAGGATATTTTGAACTCAAATAACAAAACAAACGCAATGTAGAATATTGTAACAAGTAGTTCATCAACAAGAAACCGCATAAAAAATGTTACAAAAGTTAATGAGAGTGAAGTGAAAACGAGGCTAGTCTTTTCAACCAATGTTTTTGAGAATTGAGGTCGATCTCACGTGGGGTGAAAAGCCAAACAACCATCAGATGCTTCCCCAAACATTGTCGGCAAGTTCGTTTCTGAAACTTCTTCTTAAGAAATTCGGAAAATAATCGGTAAACTAAAAAATAAATTTTCGTCCAGTAGAGAAGAATTTCCGGTTTGTTGTTAAAACGTGCGCGTGCCATTATTCACGCATTTACTCACATATTTAATGAACGCTCATGCACTGGAACATTTTCAAATGTTTGGAAACATTAATTATGCTCTTCTAAAAGGGCAACAAAAATTAAATTAAAAATTATTGACAATTTTCCGTCTTGTCAATTTTTTCAAACAATTTTAAAGAGACATTTTTACGTAACCTTACTAATTTAGTTTCTCGTAAACCTTTCTATTCGTAATTCAACTTGTATATATGTTGGGGTAGATATCTAATAACTCAGCAAAACATGCACAGAAGACACTTCCCCCCCGGTTCGTCACACATAGTTTTAACTGTTTTTTGTGTTAAATATATGTTAGGCTTGACACCTACTGATATGGAGTCCATGTCCATTAGTGATCAGATTCATTGTATTAAATATGGGAATTTAATGTATCAGACTTTACACTATTATAATCAAGTTTAAAACATAAAATTATCCTTTTAGAATGGACTACCTTTTTTAAAAAATGATGCCAGTGTGACCCCATAATTAGTAATAGTGATCCAAAATTTTCAGGTTGCTGGGCTACAGAGTTTGTACATAGTTGTTGTGGACCCTTTGTTACCATCTTTCACATGATTCTGGGTCAGCAAGATACATAATATATCCCTGAAAGACTGAGAATGAAAGAAAATAAATGAACCAAGAATATTGAATCATATTCTGACAGCTAACAACTCATCTAAAAACGCTGAAAAGATAATTATTTTATGCCATAAAGTGTTTGTCTAGTGACTATTAAGTTGTAAGAAAATATCCTCAAAATACAGTATTATATTATATTCAATTTTTAAAAAACACTTAAACGGCTTGTAAAATGAAAGTTGGTACATTTTCATCTACTTCGAAAATACTGCAACTACAAATAAATATTAATACACAGAGAACCAGTCAAATACAAAAAAATGTGTAACCAAATATCCAACTAAACCATTCTACATGTTTTCTGTGCTACACTAAACCCGTCCACTCTGATACATTCAAAAAAAGAATATTATTTGTTTATTTTATTATATTTTAGTTACTCTGAACATCATTCCACTGAAGCATTTTAGTAACGCTTATTTCACAAACTATCAATTAGTAACCATGACCTGCATTTCAACCGTTGGCGAACACTAACCTCGTTTGTCTAGAAACGTGAATTGTTTTTTGTTTCAGTATTGCAGATCTCTAACGACGCGGAAACAAAACACTTTAATCGAATAATTAATAAATGGAATTTCAATTGTCAAGAAAGTAATGTCTAGCATGTTCATCACTGTTTTATAAATCTTACACGTTCTTCATTAAACAAATGTTCATCAAACAAGAGTTCACTTTACGTTCTTCATTAAACAAATCAAATATGATACAAACTCACCCTTTGACGAAGATAACACATGTTGAATTGACGTTTCTGTCTGTAAGATTTTTAGGTTATGAAGATGTCATTTATGGTACACAAGACGCAATTGGAAATATGTAGTGCGAAATTGATGCCGAAATGCTGTTGTAGCCGCTTGCGATGTTTACATCGAGAACTACGTCATTCATCACTGAAACTAAACTGCAACTCACACCCGTAAACAAAAACTACTAAATATTAAAAAAAATAACTACTCTATTGACAGTTGCGGCAACTTCTTGTCTTACGCATTTCTCATTACACAACTCATTACACTACAGAGCGAAAATAGCGTCACACTTGTCACTGCGTCTGTAATACCAAAGAAATTTCACTCCAAAGAGACAATAAGAAACAAAGTTAGAAATTTTCGTCCAGAATAAAAAGCTGACTCCACGGTATTTGTAGTGCACGGGGATTGCGAATGTATGATATAACGAACGAAATGTCAATTTACTTTTTATCAGACTAATTGTTCATAGACAAATATTTAGCATCTAAAAAAACAGTATTTTGCCGGATCAAGTGAAGGACCCTTCTGATGGTATAGTAAGCTATTCATTTCATTGATTATCTGTAATATTAAACTAGTGTCACGGAATGGCACAGACTTTCTCTGTTTCATCCCTTTTGCCTGGCCTCGCTTTTCGGTTCTGCTGCCACCATCTATGAGCGTCTAAAATTGTTTGTTCACATTTTCTGAATTTTTCGGTCCCCTAAAAGCAGAATAGAACTTGTGGTGGTAAAATAGCATTTACATTAGCGCATTATTTCTAACTTTTGCAAGTTTCGAAAATTCAGAAAGTTCAACGAAATTGATACCTATCCCGTTTCTTTTACTCTATCCGAGGGAACATTTACAGAAAAAATGTAGAGTGTGAGAGAAAAAATTATAAATCGCCTTAATAAAACAAATATTATGCAAAACCGACTCATTGAAAAATATATATTTGCCTGAATTTGAAGAATTATTATTTTAAGACAGATTGCCGTAAGAAAACGAGGTGTCTTGTCCAGTTTTCTTCATATGCCAGGTTTCATATATCTGCTACGTGAGAATTTACAGATTTATGGAATAGTTTTTTAAGAGCGGCATTACAAAACGCTGATCTATCCCTGATTCGGCTAATGTGAAAGTATCGTTTGATAGTCACTGTATTTTGATATTTTATGAATCAAAGGCATAGACCATTTAAAGCTTGTAAAATACCTTCACTAATCCGAACTTTTAACCACGAATGATTTGAAATGATGAATGAAAATAAAGTCTCATCATTCGTTGTAAGCAGCCAATGGTTTTCATATTCATATCTCAATCACTTACTTCTTATCAGTTTCTCTTTAAGAACTTTAAATAGAGACGTATATATGAAAAGCACTGCAATATTATATTTTTCAATGCGAGCACCACACAAATTCATCTTCGTAAGTTGTAAACTATTTTTATACATTTGATCTCCTCAAAATAAACACATTGGTTATCCAACATTCTTGCCCTGGTAACCATTTTTTTTGGAAATCACCTGCCAAATCTTAAAAGACTCAAAAATGCATACTTTATTTCATATTTCCAAAATGTTATCAGAAAAAATATTTACAGAACCTTTCATTAACGCCATGGTTTACTTTTTGGTTCTGTACAACAAATACTTTTTATATTGTGTTTATAAAAATAACTTAATAAATAAAATTAAATAAAAGAGTAATTGTTAAACAAATGCATTTTTCAGTACATATTTTCTTAATTTTTTGAAAGTCAAAATGTCTTGGTCAAACTCAGGGTTTTGGAATATCGTAAATACTGGAACACTTTTATAATATGGAGATTTTCAGGTAGAAATTGTTGAGAAAATTTGGATCAAACGTTTTCGAATATAGACCAATTTTAGTTCCCAATTTCTGAAAAACTTTAAATATTTGAAAAACTATTGTAGAAATACTTTGGAGCATCTTCGAATAAGTTAAAAAAGTATTAAACCAGGAAATACATCTATAGTGTGCCAGAAAAGTCTCTCCTTAGGGACACCCATGGCTGGTTAGTGTTGTTAGCACGAACTGCAACTTGTAACAAATGAAAACATATATTACGTACTCACCACAATCATAGTAAATGCTGGAAGCGTGGTTCTCTTTAATCGTTCCTAGTTATCTGGTTGCATAAATGAAATTGTTAATAGGAGCCCCTTATTCGGCTCGGTGCCGAGAGACTTTCCTAGTATGCTGTATAACCTAAATTTTAACGGCGTGAGAAACATTTCGAAAAAATACATTTGCGTAAGTTTTGAAGAATCAAAAGAAAACATTACACGACGTTGACATCATCATATCCAGTACATAGAATACTATTCATATAAAAAGAATAAAGAAATAACTTGTCGTACTTTTTGGGATCTTGTTTTTAATATTGCACACATTTCTGGTGATGTAGAAAGATTAAATGTCCCCGGTCATCACGCGTGCTTGGAATGTACTTTGCCCACTTCGTCCTCATTTCCCCGCTTAGTTCCTCTTGTCCCCTCTTTTGTCCTTACGCGTACTGCGATTGTTTTTTAAAAACGGTATTGCAAAGACAATGCAATTCTGCCCGTAGATTCCGAAAATTCTAGGGTTGTCGGTCGACAAGCAGAGGATTCCGAACTGGAATTCGCGGAATATGAAATCGATGTCAAGCGTCAATTAAATGTAGGAATACGTGCATTAGGAAATGGTCGTAGAGAAAGTAATTTCCTACATACTACAGGAACAAGAAAAAATCCCCTTTTACAATATAAGGAAACCACAAAATTAGTTTTTGTTTTCAAAGAAAAACTGCACCTTTTGCACCAGCTTTACAACCACTTTCTTTGTACTATGTATAGTATTACTCTGTGTATACAAGAAAGTAAAATGCTGGTAGAATTATTTCTTAAATGTTCAACATTTTCCTTGAGAAATATTGGAATATATTCTATAGTTTGCTGAAGACTCGCATTGGTATTCTAATGGTACGGGAAAGGCATTGGCATGTTACTGTTAAATGTTTTGTTTAAAACCTATTTTTAGAAAAGTGTAAAAATATGATACTGAGTCATACAATGCATGAGAACGGTGCATTTTCTTATATTGATCGCCAATAGACGGATATTAATTGCCCAAATCCTCGAACACTACATTGTTTTTCAACAGCAATTGCATTTTAGCTTTCTCCTAACAGTTATATACATTTTACGTTTTTTTATGTTGAATAAATATACAAACTCATTTAAACCTCTAGCCATTGATTTATTACTCAAATATAGAGCAATATTTATTTTACAATAATTTCGATGTATTATTAAATTTTTATATTGAACCTACTACTTCCAAAGGCAGTATATAGCTGAGAAAACTAGTACTAAGTCCTATGTGTTCTCAATTTTGATTGGACTTTTCTTTCAATTTCGCTTCATCCATTAAACAAACACCCGGATGTACGTCGAAATGTTCTGGGCACAAAAGTAGTTTTACTTTCCCACTCCTTTTCCTAATTTCACTTTCAGTTGTTTTCTTTTATTTTTACATTGAAATAAATAACGTATAAATAATAAATGTTTTATTCTCTTTTGTCTTCCCAACATTGTCTCTTGACATCACACTTTGATTTCCTACAATTTAATACTTTTTTGAATCTCCTTTTGTTCTTGTTTATTGATTTTCCTTGTTCACCTGTCTTCCTTCATTTCATCTTTGGTGCATAAACAAGACTTTTCGTAATAGTGTCCGTTAATATCAATAACACAACCCCATAGAGGAATGAAAAGGTAATCTTAATGGCCGCCGGCCGTTAATTTCTTTACGGCTGACGGCCTTTAAGTAGCCAAGGGATCTTCGAACTATTTATTTTAGCTCTTTTTTTGTGCAATTCAGTGTAAATAGCACTCCGTTGCTCGTTATTTCTATATAAACTATGTGATCAAAAGTAACCAGACACGTCCAAAATGGTGTTATGGTGTGATCGTGTTTTTGATGGAGGGGGCAAGTACTCCTTGTTTTGTGTGGCACTATCACGGCACAGGCCTACGTTGATGTTTAAACATCTTCTTGCTTCCCACTGTTGAAGAGCAAGTCGGGGATGACGATTTCATCTTTCAATACGATCGAGAACCTATTCTTACTGCACGGCTTGTGGGAGTGGTTACACTACATTAACATCCCTGTAATGGACTGGCCTTCACAGAGTCCTGACTTGAATCCTATCGAACACCTTTGAGATATTTCCGATTTCGTGTCAGACCTCACCGACCTACATCGATACCTCTCTTTAGTGCAGCACTTCGTGAAGAATAGGCTGCCATTTCCCAAGCTACCTTCCAGCACCTGATTGAAAGTATGCCTGCGGGAGTGGAAGCTGTCATCAAGGCTAAGGGTGACCAACACTCTTTTGACTTCCAGCATTACCGATGGAGGGCACCACGAACTCGTAAGTAATTTTCAGCCACGTTTCCGGACACTTTCGATCACACAGTATAAATAGTCAATGACACAAGTTCGTCTTGTCTCGAAATGGCACAAGGGGACAAATGGGACAAAGGGACAAATGGGGCATGGGAACAAAATGGGACCAGGAGACAAATGGGATAGGTGGACAAAATGTGACAAGGGGACAAAATAAGACAAATGAAGAATGGAACAAATGAAAAATGGGGCAATGGGACAAAATGGACAACGGGAGAAGGGCGCAAAACGGAATAAAGGGACAAAATGGGGCAAAGTGGGCAAGGGAGAAAAGAGACAAAGGGACAAGGAGACAAAAGGAAACAAGGGAACAAAACGGGAGATGGGAAGAAGTGGGACAGGCGAACAAAATGGTTCTAAAATGTTCTTAAGATAAAACCTTGGTCTTGTAAAAGTAGCATTTGAAGCAAGAATCGAATCGATTTGAAATGGAATTTGGCGTTGCACTCCTACGTATTAAAAGCAAAGTCGTTTCTTATTTATATTTTTTTTCTTTTAATAAAATGGCATTACGAAAAGTATTGAACGATACATGGCCGATATCACAAATAAGAGACTTGGTTGGTTGTTTGGTGTTTATCGGCCAAATGACGTTAATAGCTATAACATTAATTTTAAGGCAAGCGATTTTTTGTGTGTCAGAACTATCCCCGAGCAGCAAACTTTTAGGCGAAAAGTGCTTCTCATTATCTTTCCCTTGTGGCACAGCAGATGCTGCAGCCATTTTGTGATCAACTATTCCATCAGCACGGGTCGTCCTTAATGATCGGTCTCTCTTCAGCCGGAAACCCTGCGAGCGAGGGCTCCATAATGGATGGGATCAA